TGCTGGCTGATGGCACTGTGAAGGGAAGGCCCATGCTGTAATGACACTCCTGGAGAAAGGACCCTGCGTCAAAGTCACAGGTGTCAGAAGATGGCATTTTTTTAGAGAAAAGTATGCATTTGACCTGTAGGACATTAATCACCTGATTTACAAAATGAACCTATCTAAGTAAAAGTATTTTTTCAGTTCTATAATATTTTGTGTCATTAAGCTAATACTATTTGTGGCCACTAGAAATTCTATGTCCAGGTGTCCAGTTATTTAAAGAGGAGTAGGAAAAAGCCATGGTGACATTTCCAATTATCCACATGTGACCCTGGTATTTATAGCTCATCCTTTACCTTCCCCATTCTCTTGAAAAAATGTCTTTCTGCCTCACTGCCTTTATTTCCTTCTTCAGGACATTACATCTCCTGCAGCCCATGCTTCCTGATCTTCACCTCACAGCTCCTCCCCAACTAACTGCTCTAAGCCTTGGAACTGCCTCCTGCTTTCTGTCACCCAATCCAGAGACTTCTGTGGGAATTGTAACATGTCTCCTTTCTAAAGACATTTTCAATGGCCAGGCCTCAGTTTGCAGGGTGTTTGTCCATCTGTTTTGGCTATTCAGCAGAGTCACTGATATGTTTTAACATCCCAATTTCCAACAATGGTCTTTAAAATTACAGCAAGTAGTTCATTTGCTGAAGGATAAACAAAGAGATTATTTTAGTGGTTAATGTACAAGATGGGTATTAAAACCCTAGTTTTCTGCAGCTCCAAAAAGTCAGAGGATGTGGGTCAGACTCTAGGCCTGCCTGAATCCACCATTAGAATAATTCTAAAGAATACGGAAGAGATCCCACGTCAGCCAACAAAACTCCTCATGTCTGATTAATTGTATGTTGATAACAGGGTATAAATGAGGTTAAAAAATCTGATGTCCCAGGGACAACGCCCTAATAATCTTCTTGTCTGTATAACCATTATTGCTCTTGTCATTATTATCTTAAGTGATGTACTCACAGTTCATGGGTTAAGCATTCCCTTACTGGAATGAATGCTCTGATTTGTGAATCAGCCCACTGTACTTATGTGACTTATGAAGAATTTATAGACCTGGAATGCTGGGAATCAGAGTGCAAGCAGAGACAACCACCAAGGGAGATTGCACAGGCACTTGCCAACGCTGTCTTTCAAAAGCAGGCAGTTGGGCCACAGGGTCCCCTCCAGTCTCCCATGTTGAAGTGGACTTGGATGCACCTACTGAGACTCAAGTGCACATACACCGACACCTGGGTTCTCAACCTTTACCAACTTCTCAGTCAATTGCAGTAATTCTCAATGAAAGGGAGATGAGTGCGGGAGAGCGAGCAGGCCTACAAAGATCCCTCCCAACAGAATCTAGAAAAGGAGTAGTTGTGCAATTGTTAGCTGAAGCCCTTCCCTGCTGCTGCCATCTCCATTCTCCGTCCATACCAGATGCTAATATACGTTCATCAAGAGATGTGCCAGCGATTCCCCTGCTGGGACTATACCCTGAGAACACCAAAACGCCAATACAAAAGAACCTATGCACCCCAATGTTCATAGCAGCACAATTTAAAATAGCCAAGTGTTGGAAGCAACCTAAATGCCCATCAGTAGATGACTGGATCAAAAAATTATGGTACATATACACAATGGAATACTATGCAGCAGAAAGAAAAAAGAAGTACTAAACTTTGCGACAGCATGGATGGAACTGGAGAGCATCATGCTAAGCGAAATAAGCCAGGGGGCGAAAGACAAATACCATATGATCTCACCTATAAGCGGAACCTAACCAACAGTGCAAAGAAGCAAGGAAAATATGACCAGCAACACTGAAAGGAAAAGAAATCAACAGAGACAAGAGGGAAGGGGGGGGGGGCAGGGAAAGGGAAGGGAAGGGGAAAGTCAAGGAACATATAGCAAGGACTCATGGACAAAACCAAAGGGGAAGAGCTGAGGGAGGGAAGGTGGGAGGGGGCAAGGGAAAGAGGTGGGGGGAAGGCAGAGACAAATGTATTTAAAAAGTAAATAAATTAATTAAAAATAAATAAATAAATAAAAGTTTTACAATTCAGGCAAAAAAAAAAAAAAAAAAAAAAGAGATGTGCCAAATGCCCAACGCCCCTTTCAAGCAGACTCTGAAGAGTGCATGGGTGTTAGCTGAGGTGGATGGGGAAGAATGTTGATGGAGGCTGCCTGAAGGAATACATTTTTTTAAGAAGTATATTTTATTGATTATGCTATTACAGTTGTTCCATTTTTTTCTCTCCTTTCTCTCCCTCTGCCCTGCACTGTCCTCCCTCCAGCACCCTCCCTTTAGTTCATGCCCATGGTTGTACATATAAGTTCTTTTGATAGAGAATGAAGAAAAAGGGAATGCAGGAAAGAGGAAGCAATAAAAAAATCTGGAGGTGCCAAGGTAAGTAAGAGACCATGGAAAACATTCAAAATATAACACTTTCCTTAATGAGATTTGTTACTGGACTGTTGACTCTAACCAAATAGGATTTATAGACTGGCATTAATAATGACAACCACCTTTTCCCAAGCTTAGGGCACCTCTGATTCTGGAAGGCTACTATTCTAAATGCCTGGCTTCTCCAAATAGCAACATAATTTGTCAGGTAATCATATTTTTTAAATATGCTGAATTGCGTACTAGTGCTTGTATTCAACCAAAAGGCACCAAGAACACTTGAGTTTATTTTCTAAATTTCACTTTTAAGAAGTTCAACAATATTTGAACAATCTGAGCCCTAAAGTTTACTAAAGTGGGTTGGAAATATTATTTGGCTTTGTTTGTTATATGTTGTTATAGCTATCAAAGAAAAGAAGTTCTACTGCAAACACCATTAATTGCATGATTAAATGCTTAAAATAATACCCAAATTGTTAATTTACCTTCTTACCGATAATTAAAGGTGTATTATTAAAACACGGATTTAAAAACTGCTTAATGTTACTAAGGCCGGACATTAAGAGACTGGATTGGTTAAAAGACAATTCTAGATCATGCCTTCTCCATCCCTCACATAATCTGAGTTCACTGGCTCTTTTGTGCAGCAACTTCCTCAGTTGTCATATCTCAGCACTTCTTGGTTTTACCTTCTTCTCCATAGATTTTGCCTGGGAATTTTGTGAGAGTACACTGTGCTCTTCTGCCTAAGGCAGGAAATTGCTGCTGGGGGCCTTCCTATGAGAACTAAGCTTTTCCCTGCAATGCACTGGGGGAAGGGAGTATATAGTACAGGCTGCCTAGAATAGATCCTGGAGGTTGGGCCACACAGCCTCCTCACACCTCATATTAGCATTCCAGTTCGGGGAGCAATTTCACACACTCGCTGGCAATCCTAAGCCTGCTGTAAAACCAGCCAGGGTCCACCTCATCCGTCAAAGGGCTGCAGCTGCCTTTCAAGGGCCACAGCAAGGGTGTTCCTTTGCCAGGACTAAATCAACCAGTGAAGAGGGATCTTCCCTCAAATTCAAACCCTAGAAAACAGTGCATGAGAAGCTGATTGGGAGTTCAAGATGAGTTCCAAAGGTGGAGGGAGTGGAGGGAGCAGGGTTCAGAGCCTTCCTCGGAATTACCTAGCTGTGTGACCCTGGGCAGGTTACCTATTTTCCCAAAACTTGTTTCTTCCTCTGTGAAATGGGGATACCAAAAGGGACCCTGCAAGATTGGAGAAGCTTTAAAAGAAATAATGTATGCAGCCCAGTGTCGGCTACACAAGCAGTATGGGTCCAAAAACTACCCCCACCACCTAACAGATTAGAGCACCAGATGAATTATGTAACCTCTGTGACTCAGTTTCCTCATTATTAACATGGAGTTTTAATACAACACAAAGTACATATCCAATAAATATTAGCTACTTTTTTTTATTTCCTTGTAAAAACAGCCTCTGTTTCCAGCTCAACCAGCTCTGTAATGGTGAATTAAATGAGTTCATATTTTTTTAATCGTGAAGACCTTCCATGCTTTTATGATTTTCCTGGGCAGAGTCAAGCAGCAGTGCTAAGGGTGGGGCTAAACTGTAATATGAAGAAAAAATTTCAAAGAGGGAGAATAACCACCCACCAGGGAGCTATTTCTTTTGTAATGTACATTCCATTTCTTCTCCCTCATGCTTTTTAATTCCTTCCACATTTCCTGCCATAATTATCAAATGTTTGGTTTCTGACCTCACTTTTCTGGAGACTAGAGCCCAGGGAATTTAGGATTGTTTATTTTCTGTCCATAAACCTTTGAGTTAATGGAAGGGCTTGTGAGTGAAGGGTTTGTTGGTTTGTTTGTAGTGTCTCAGGAAGGTCACTGGAGTTGAAAAAAAAACATTACCAAAAAAGTGCTGAAATACTTTGACTGGAAAAGCTGAGGCTGAGCAATGGATAGCTCACACTTGCGCAACTCTAATTTAAGAGAAAATTTGAGATTTTTGAAGGCCGTTATATGGTTCTAACAGTAATACAAAAACCGAAGGCACTTTACAAAGGAAGAAAAAAAAATCAGAGAATTAAAATCTTACTTTATAAAAGAAAAAAATTATTCCGCCCTAAAAGAAGAATCTCTTAGGATATATTCTTTTTTTGGGGGGGGGGGTTGTTATTTTCTCTTCTACCCAAGCGGACAGACTGGGAAGGAAAAGTCCCCAACTCTTCTCACCGTCCTCTCAAGGCGCCTTTTTGAATTCGGCTGCGCCCTCGTCGCCGCCTCGGTCCCACACGGCCCATCTCGTCCTCTCTCCCCCCCGCCCCAATCTCCCTCCATATTAGTCGCGGTGGGGCTGCCGCTCACTGCTCAAACTTCTTTTCCTGATTTTTGAGGTTTAAGTTTCGTAAGTAGCATTCCCGCTCCGAGCGCCGCCCTCCCCACGTTCGGAAACTCCCAGTTCCACCCGGGGAGAGCATCCCCAGGACGCACCACCGCCCGCCCGCGCGCAGACCGCGGTGGCCCCGGAGCCCGAAGTCGAACCTCCTCGGCCGCTCCCTACCTCCGCGCGGACCCAGGCCACCGCCACCAGAGAGAGCGCGAGCCAGCGTGTCCACATCTGCGGAAGAGACGAGAGCGAGACTGAAGGCACCGGGCCCCGCGCCGATCCCGAGAACTTCCTGGGGTCCCGCAGGTCGCCCTCTCCTCCCAGCCCCCCTCGGCTACCCTCGGGGCCCGGCCACCGCACTCAGCTTCGCGCCGCGCACCGGGCTCTCACCATGGTCCTGTCCCGGTTCCCCGAGTGCGCGGAGCAGGGCGGCTGCAGCAAGCTCTGTGGGAGCTTTGCCGAACGCCAGTCTCGAAGGAAATCCGACCTGGGCTCGCCGCCCCTTAAGACCCCTCCCTCCCCTGCTGCCTGCCCCCCAGCTCCTCCCCGTTCTCCTCCCCCTTCTGCTGCAGCGGCCCCGGCGGCTGCCGGCTCCGCTCCCTCCTCCCGCCCCTGGCTCCCGGGAGCCCGCGTGCGTCCTGGCGCCGCCCGAACTCCACTCCCTGCCCGGCCCCCAGGACGTGGAGGCTGAGGCAGAGATGGGGTGTCCCGGGGGACACCGAAACAAAAGCGGAGAGTGTGGGGAGGGCGGGGGGATCCGAAACCGCACCCTCGGAGGGGCCCTGGCGTGCTGCAGCTCGGGCGGGCTGCGGCGGTGCCCAGGTTGGGCGGTGCTGCTGGGGCACCCGGGCCCGGTGTGGGGAAGGAACCTGGGGGAAAAGGCTCCCTGTAGCCTGGGGAGCCCCAGCCGTCCCCAGCGGGTGATAGAGAACCGGAGATTCCCAAGACCCATAGCCCGGGGGTCACTGCAGCCAGGACTCGAGGAAGTGGACGCAGGGCCCGGAAGACCGGCCAGCGCGAGGAATGCTGCTTTGGGTTCAACTGTGCATTTCCTAGGGGAGAGCTGGCGGCTGCCCCGCTCCGCTGGAAAGATCCTGACTGAGGCGTTTGCTAGCAGCCTCACCCCGTCCGTCCTTCCCTCCGGTCCAGGAGCTGTGCCCCCTCCTGTCTTCCGCCCACCCGTCACTTCTGCCCCTTCTCCTAGTCCTGTCAGCCCAGCTATCCTCCATGTTCATGCTTTCCATCTCCTACAGCCTCTTCCCAGCGGTTTTCAAATGTGTGCTGCCTCTTTCTATCGATTCCCCAAACTTGCAGCTGTGGCCTCTCATACCTTGCCTCCGGTGTCTCTGGTGCTGAGGAAAAAAAAAATCCACTTGGCGCTTTAGATTTGACATGCCCTAGGCTGAGCCCCACTTCCCATCAACTCCCAGGCCTGCTCCTCTGCATCTGTATGAGGAGTGCCCCGAAAACTCTGCTCCACTCCCTAAACTCGGGTTGTCACCATATCCTGGCAGTCTTCACTTTGATATCTGCTATTGTCCCTTCACTGTCATTCACATTTCCACTTCCCTAGAACAGACCTTCATCTGGCTCCGCGAATTCTAGAAACCACCTCTGATTGCTGTCCACCTCCAGGCACTCAAAGTCTCCACTGCAACTCATTGCCATTTTCTCTTACTACCTGATTTACACAGCCTCTCTCACACACTTCCCCGCTCAGAAACTTTGAGCACTCTTCTTCCCACATGAAATTCAAACTCTACCTTCCTTGTAAGCCTTTCTTCATTGGGACTACGTAGCCATCTAACTTTACTTAAGCTGCTTAATATACTCCATATACTCAGATCAGGCCAGTCTTCTCATTGTCCGCTGAACCTATTCACGTTCACTCTACTACTATGGTTTGCTGAGTGCCTAATGCTGTGGTTTTAGGGGCTCTAATAACATTCATATTCCCCAAGCATTTTCACAAGCCATTGAACTAGCCACCAGAGTCAGACTGTTGGAGAGCAAAATGTCAACTTTGTTCCCTGTTAAAGCTGGAATGGTGGCCATAGCATTAGATTTGCAGGGACAATGAATGGATCTGCTTATACTTCACCCCAGAGTTAAATAAAATAAAACGTGTTGAATGGCCTTAGTACCTGTCACATGCAAGAGTTGGAAGATCTGTGTGTGAGATTTGGGAGCTGGAGTCACCCCCCAGGGCTGACAGAGAGAGGGTGGGAGGTGCAGAAGGACCCTTTTTATGAAAATCTGCTTGTATAAGATTGCAGCTTTACAGTTTCTGGAAAAGCAGAACACACATGCTTCCTAGGGCAGACCCGCTCCCCAAACTTGAGGGGTCAAAGTGATGTATACTTTTCCAGCTCACCAGTCAGATAACTCACTCCTGCTTCCTTGATATGAAAATAAAAGAGGTGGGAATAGTTGTCCCCTGCCAGCTGCTCTGTCCCAGTCTCTGTGCCAGGACTCAAGCAAACTGTGAGGTACAGGTTTTGCTTCTACTTACAACACTTTTCATCCCTTACACATACACTGCACCCCCTCAGAATCTGGCATGATCTTTCTTCTCTTCCTCTTTCTGTTCATTCAAGTCTGTCTTTTTTTTCAGGACTCAAGTAAAGTTTTATTGCTTCTCTAGCAATAACTTGTTTCTTTAGATAATAACTTGACATAGTAGAAAGCACTTGAGATTTAATGTTAGACAAATCTGGCTTTTAATTCTGTCACTACCATTTACTAAGCTAGCTGTATAGCCTTCATCAAATTATTTAAGTTCTCTGAAACTAAGTGTCTGCATCTGATAATTAGCAGATAATTATTAGAGATAATGCCTTTCAATGGGCTGTGAAATTTAAATATGGAATATTATAGAAAGTACCTGGAGGGTAGTAGGCCTCCATATACATACCCATTAGTATTTCATTGATCTACTTTGCAAATGAATTGTAGTTGGTACCATATGCCATTTGACATGTCTAATTTATTTATCACAACAAACTGAAAGTTTTTTTAATTATTTCCATTTTCTAGATAATGAAACTGAATCTCAGAAAAATTTGGATACTTTTCTAAGGTTAACAGTTGGTTATTAAGCTTTACAGCTTGGTGTTTTATTGCATACCATTTAGTATAACTTTTAACACTGTTCACATAGTTGTTGTTCTTGATTCTCCAGCTAGATTTTAAGTTGCTTAATGCATAAACAATGTTTTTCATATCTTAATTCTCTCTACATTTGGGGCACAATCAATGGATTTGACCATATCAGAGTCAAAGAATCCTACTCAATCAAGGGCACCATTAAAAAAAAATAGATTAGAAGGAGAGAATCAGTATCTAAAACTAAAAGGAACTCATAACTGCAACCCTTGTAAATCAATAAGAAAAAGACAGGAAAGCAAATAGAAAAATGGGCAAAAGCCAACAAGTAGAGAAAAGATGCTTAAAGTCAGTCACTGGTATTATTTAAATTACACAACAACCCTATAATATCAGTAACATTTTACTATTTCTATTTTACCATTAAGGAAACTGAGACAGACATTTTTAGTAATTTGTCCTAGATAACACAATAAATGGTAAATATTATCTTAGACTCATCATAGTGGCAGAAATTAGGCAACTGGACAATGCCAAATGTTAACATGTTAGTCGTGCAGTCTTTCTGGTGTAGTGTAGTGATTAAGAGCATTAGTTTAGGAGCAGGAAGCTTCAGTTTAAATGTGTCTTGGTAGTAAATCTTGGCTTTACTACTTACTATGTAACCTTGGGCAAGTTAGTTTGCTTGTTTGTAAAATGGGGATAATAATAGTACTGATTCCATAGCATTATTGGGCAGATTAAATGTGTTAATATGTGTAAGTCACTTAGGACAGTGCCTAGTACAGAAGCTTATAATTAATGTGTACTAATTAGGAAATAGTTCAATAGAAGGACTTTGCAGGTACTGAGGATAATTCTGTGCTGTAGAGTATGATTAACTTAACTCTACAATTAATAAAAAACAAAACAAAACAAACAACAATGACAAAATAAATTGCATGAAGGAGTTGACAGTTATATCAGTGAGGACTTTTCTGGTTGCAGGTGATAGAGAAGCTGATTTACATAAGTGGCTTATGCATTTCAATGTAATCTATTGGCTCCTATAACTGAGAGATCCATGGGCAGGTCTGGCTTCAGGAAAGACTTCATCCAGGAGCTCAGACAAGGTCACCAAGGATCCGATTTCTTGTTACCTCTTGTCTTTATCGTCTGCAATCTCATTCCATTCCTGGGCCCAGTGTGGTGGTACCTGGGAGTTCTGGTCTGTGCCCTCTGGGTAGTAAGCAGGCTGCAGTGGTGACCTCATCATGCCCCTGGTTAGGGAGAGAGCCTCTTTCTGGAGCTACTACAAAAGTGCTAGAATTCACTTTTCTTTTAAGCCTAAATTGAGTTTCTTGTTATCCCCATACCAGTCACTGGGAAGAAAAGGAGGGTGGAGCAGGAGTGGGGTGTGAGATGGGGGTTGAGGACTCACTCAAAGAAAATCAGGGTAATGATGCGCAGGAAAAGCAGGGAATGAATGCTGAGACGAGCCAAATGGTGTCCACTGCGGCAACAAATCACCAACTATGCTGTGAAACCAGTGCTCTCCAAAGTTGGGTGCAGGGTCCCCAGAGGGTATGGGAAGATAATATGTATATATTTACTATTCCCAACCTAAAAATGGGAATTGACTTTGCAAATATGTAGACAGACTGTGGTGCCCATATTTGGTCCATATGTCAGACAGGTAATATTGCCAGGTTCCATGAGGACAAAGCAAGCATTCTCTCACACAGAGGAACTGACAGCAGCCAGTTCCCTTTAACGCCTTGTGATATACTGAGGTGTGCCCACTTAAGTGAATTATATATAATACTATCTAGTTTTAACTAACTAGATAAAAAGCATTTGGCTATGAAACCAGGAATGAGGATAAAGATTTTTTCCTATTAATAAGAAAAGGACAGGACCGACATGTTTCTTACTTTTGTAAAGAGCTTGCTGTCTGCCACATCAGCAAGGTAAAAACAATGACTCAATCAGATCTGACAGTAAGTCAGTCAAAAAATTCAAAGGTAACAAAAAAGCTATTTAAATATGGATTCACATTCTTTATTATTAGTTATATCCTCATCCCAAGCGTACCTTAAGGTATTGGTTAAAAATACTTAGGATTAGCAAGAATTTTAGAAACCAGGTATGCAGAATATAAAGACAAATACCTACTTTTTTTTTGTGTGTAAGATAGAGGCTCTTTTTATTTTTTTAAAGATTTTATTTATTTTTAAAGAGAGGAGAAGGGAGGGAGGAAGAGAGGGAGAAAAACATTGATCGGTTGCCTCACTTAAGCAAGGCGTCCCAAGTGGGGACGGAACTCACAACCCCTGGCATGTGCCCTGACCAAGAATCCAACGGATGGCATTTTGCTTTGGGGAATGAAGTGCAACCAACTGAACCAT